GTTCCACCCATCTGCTGGCTGTATGCGTTGCGAGACCCCCAGGTGCCGAGCACACATTCGGGATATACTAGTAAAAGGACTATTGCTACTTTATCGGGCCGGAGGGAGAGGTGGTGCAGAGGACCCGACGACGACCGAACAGTCTTCTCCCCCTCCTTTTCTCTCGCGTCCGTGGCAAATAATTTATTAATAGATATGTCTCTTGTCAGCAATAAGTTAAAAACAAAAATTTTCGAGTTATTAATTGTTTCTTCTGGAGACTAGCCGTGAAAAGTTTAAAACATAGCCTCTAAAATTTGAAATTGCACTGGCCGACCTTAAAAAAAAAATTGTTTAACAAAACAAATAACCAGTTTATGACCAAAGATTACCAAAGACTCCTCAAAATGACCTTACTTTCTCGTGTCTCATGTCTTCGGTGTGTTCGTTCCCCGTATGACGTAATTTGGACTGGGAGGTGTCTCTCCAACTTCAAGTACACTCTCCTCCGAAGTCATTAGACAGACGTGAGACAAATCAACACGATTAGAATGGTTAGTTATATACAGTTACACTCCATTTCCCACAGCGGTTGCATTGGCCAATCTTGAGTTTCAACGCTACTCCAGAATTGTACATACCCTTTCCAGAATTTTTTACAGAATTCCATAATTTAAACTGTAGTCCTAAAGACGTAGGATATGGGACCCTATCGATGGTTGTACCGGAGCCGAGGGCAGGCTGAGGTGGCACCTGCCGGACCATCGGGGTGATGTTGTGACGGGATAGGGAAGTCAAGAGTTGAGAGACCGGGGGTAGTTTTGGGCCCGATAAAAGGAAGTTGACACACAGAGCAAGGCAAGGCAACGAAACTTAAAACAATAAGCAGCATTTTACGGCACGCTATGCATGGGGCCGCCTTGAGGGGGTTTCCCGACATGTCGTTTCAGTAAATTAAAGGGTGTTTCATGTTGTCTTTGCTGTGGGACTTCTTAATACCTTGGAAAATGCCATTTAATACTTTTTAATACTTTTTAAAAGCCTTAATTTTCGCTAAATTGATTTATCAACTTTTAATACTTTTTAAGACCCCGCGGACACCCTGCTATCAGGTCGGATAGGGCCGGTGAACTCACAGTCTTGATGTTCCTAAACATAATGGTGCATTTGGGATGCTGCCTGAGCAGGGAGACCGGAACAGTGAAGAGGATGGCGTGGTGGTCAGATACAGCCAAGTCGAGGCGCTGTAGGTCGGGGGGCGGAGAGCCGGTAGAGCATACCAGGTCCAGCGTGTGGCCTTTGGTGTGGGTAGGGCCCTGGACATGTTGCTTGATGCTGAAGCAGTCCAGAAGTGAGAGGAATTCAGCAGCGAATGTGCAATTACTGGAGTCCACGTGAATGTTAAAATCACCGAGAAGGAGAGTTGATGGAGACATGGAGCAGAGAGAGGTGAGTAACTCAGACAGCTCAGGCAGGAAGGTAGTGGAAGCTTTAGGTGGGCTGTAGATGAGGGCAGCGGAGCAGACCCAGCCAGTTTGAAGACAACACACTCAAATGAGGTGGTAGTAGGTATTTTTATTTCTCGCACCTGCTTCTCAGGTATTCCCTACTGATGTATGGGTTGTACTTCAATATTCTGGGAATTAAAAACAAGTCACATACCTTTCAAAGGTGTACTCGCTTTCAGCCCGGAAAAAGTACACATGGGACTTGAACTGCAGCTTGAAGACGTAGTCCTTGTGAATGCTGTCCGACTCCTCGGGGATGCTGACGGTGTAGCCCAGCAGGGGGAGGCTGGCCAGCGGGAAGTCATCCTGCACACAGACACACATTCAGATCACAGACACACTCACCCAACTGAACTCTTTCAAATGTGTAGCAGTCATTGATCTCAGGGTGTGTCTGCTGACCTGGTGAGTCTTGTAGAAGAACAAGCAGAAGTTGGTGAAGACCACCCAGAGTTTTTGCCAGCCGTTACTGTTCTTGAACTTCCTCAGCAGGTAACCTGAGAGCTGGTTCTACACAGAAAATACGGAGGTTAGACACAGTGATTATTCAACGGTTGGCAGTGAATTGTGTGTGAGGGCCTGACATATTGCACTTATAACATATAACATGTTTGTGAATAAATTGGGGTTGTTTAAGAGTTGAGGCATGCTCTCACTTGAAAATGCAGAAAGCTCATTTGTTCTAATCCAATTATCCATGTTTGACTGCTCATCTCAGTTTTTTTAGTTGGTATTTTTCCTAACTTTATTTTATTACTGCTATTTTGAGTTGTTGACATGTTTTGATGGGTAGACTAGTGAATGTTTTGATTTGAGAGCACTGGCAGCAATCTATTTTAAATGTTGAACCTCATGGGATATAGAGGCTAAAATGTGAAGTAGGAAAAAATAATCAAGTTTGAAATCTCAATAAAACAACAATGTTTGCTTTCCATTTAATTAAAAGTCAAACTTGGCTGTTATGCTTTCAACTCAGACTTCAGCAAGATACTACAGTACTCTGTCCTCTTGTAGTAATCTACTGTGGCTCTAGTACCTGGTCCATGCGCAGGTAATCAGTGAGAGAGAGGTTCTGGTTTCGGTACCAGCAAACATGTGTGATGGTGTTTGGTCTCTGGCCCTGACCGAGCAGATAACGAGGCGGCAGCTCAGGAGAGACAGCTGGAGAGCCGTACACTGAGAGGGTGAAGAGACAAGAGGAACACAGGATGTCAAGAAAGTGTTAGCATGTTAGCTCAGAGAGGAAGAACAAGCAGTTCGGAAGTCCTCCAGGTCTGTGGAGGGAGAACGTGTCAGAGGAAGGATTTATTGTTATATAGTAATGCCTATGTATTAATATTGAGAGGCAAGTGAGAACAACAATGGTGATCCTTTTTTTAAAAGTGACATTACTCTATATTTAGCTGACGCTTTTATCAAAAGCCACTTGCACACACTTCATTGCCGTAGGCGTAGACATACCAACGGGGGCAATTCGGGGCTATTTTTCCCCAGGAAAGGATCAGACTTTTGGTTTACCAGATTTTATTGTCACTTGCCTCTCAGGGCTTCCATACATATCCCATCATCTGCATAAGAAACAAGAACAAAGAGTCTTTGAGAACATGCTTCAGTCAAACAGTAGAAACACAGGATATTAAGGGAGGAAAAGAAGGACATTAAAAGGAAACTGAAAAGGTTAGAGAAGGTGAAATGCAGCGGTTGACCTGTAGCGATGGGTGCTGATTCTCTAAAATCCACAGATGCAGAGGTGACGAATGTCACTTAAACGCGAGTTGAAATACTTTGAATGTGTTTTTGCAAACGTGAAGTGTGTGGAGATGTCAATGTGTGTGTGTGTAGGTGAGTGTGGGCAGGGGAGGAGTACCTCCACAGCCTGGCTGTGATCAGACATAGACACACTGGTGTTGCGGTGCCAGCACACATGCATGGTTGTGTTGGCGCGGTGGTGTGTCTGATTCTCCAGTGACGTGCGGGAGGAGTTCATGTCATCCTCCGACTCCTGCTCCAGAGAAACCTCATCAGACGATCCTGAGGGGGGAGGAGGGGCAGGACAGGAAGTTGTTTGGAGGAAGGAAGGGATTAACAACCTTTAAACTGTTTCACAAATCACAAGGAAAAAAGCTTTTGGAAAAGATTCTCTTAAGTTGAGGAAAGCATAAAGATTCTCTTGTTACTGCAGACACATCTTCAGGTAACACACTGAGGCAACACAAACTCTTACGGTTGGAGTGATCCGTGAGTCCATCATCCAGGAAGATACTGGATTTCTCCTGGGACTTCTTGGACATGTCTATAGCCAAGTTCAGATCCTCAATCCACTTCCCCATCTCCACTTTAGAGCTGAAATCACAAACACACAGACAGACAGAGGAAAGGACGGCGGTGCACTGGATTAAACATGGGGACAATCAGAATCCCTTTATTTCAAGGCATGTTCATTATAGTGCAGAAACGACATCATTAGAAAGGTTAAGTGACTTTGAAGAGACCACAGATAACCTGATATTTAACTATGTGTTTGTAGTAGGTGGTTCTCTATCGACTATAAAGAGTAACACAGCAGTGTGACTTGTAGTCCTTTAATACAGGGGTTCCCAAAGTGTGGGTCGCGGGACCCCGAGTGGGGGTCGCAAGATGATGAAAAATTGAAAAAAAAAATATATTTTTTAAATCAATTTAAAAACGATTATTATTAATAATAACGTGTGCATAGACATTTTTCAAGGGCGGACTGGCCATCTGTAGAATTTCCCCGCAGCGAGGCTCCCCTGTTACCACTCGTACCAATAGTTTATAACAAATTACAGCCTAATAATGTATAAGCAGGTTGTATAAGCATTTAGTTCAAATAAGATTTAAAATGCTCTCAGTTTACCTCCACTGTGGATTTTCAAAACAAAATACAGTAAAACTATGGTCGCAGGCCCAAGTTTAACTCTCTGAGGTCTAAGCCATATTCTCACATGTTAGGCTCGCCTGGGCTTTTTTTTTGTAAAAATGCAATTAAAACATGAACCTTGGTGTCCATCGGGCTGGCCTGCATGGTCGGCCTACAAAACAAAAATTAAAAAACGTTTATGCAGCCCCAACATCAGCCTCTGATCGTCAACAGACTTCATGCAATGCTTCATTGGATGCATATATTAGATATATAAACTCTATCCAACTCCTAAAACATCTAAATCTACTTTCAGCACGGATAAATGTTCATAAAATACATCCATTTTTTGTTCTATATGCTTCTTGAAATCCTAAAAAACACATCGTTTTTCTAGACAGATTACAAATCGCCTGAAAATGGTACAAACAAGTGGCAACATGTGTGACGAAGGTGTTGCGCTGGGCTATATCATGCAATTGAAAGTGAAACTTAAGCTCGCTCGCGGAGATATTCCCGCAAGAGTGCGGAAAACTAAACTTGACAGGGGTCGCCAGTCTCTGGCACTGTTATTTTGGGGGTCGCGGGCTGAAAAGTTTGGGAACCCCTGCTTTAATAGACTTTACTCTTCTTTCCCAGTCTCACCTGGCAGCCACAACTATGGTCCTCTGAGCAGAGTAGATGGTGAAGCAGTGGGGGACCGACCACTCGTTTTCACTTTCCTCAACCTAAAAACAAAAGAAAAATATAAGCAATACATTTGAAGCTTCAAAACACATTTGTTTTCGTTTAATGCTTTGGAAGGATGGTTATGAACTACTTGAAGCGGGGTTGTATAATTATCCATATTAAGTGTGTGGGGGGGAGGCCAGCAGAAAAACTATATTAGCCACTTCAAAAATGCCCACTTCAAAACATTTATCAGTTTAAGTGTGTTCAATAATTGGAACCTTTTTATTCATAGATAAAAGCTTCAGTTCCTGTGTCGACCACCATCTCCTGTTGCTAAAACATTGACTATTGATATCTTCCTCATAAAACCTCACTTCAAAATATTCAACCTATCCTTTTATGCTTGGGAAAACAGGAGGAACGCAGTCGGAGAGTGTGACTCCATTCACAGACCTGCTCTACCGGAGCATTTATATGCATCTGTGTGGAGGTCAAACATGAAACGTTCATGTTGGTTTCCATCAGCCTCCCATCATCACCCAGGTCCAAATCACAACACTTCAGTTATGGCATGGAAACATAACTGCTTATATTTTATAATTTGAGATGTGCAATTAATTTGTAATAAGGGTTTGATACACAACTAATGAAAGTTGCAAGCATCTTGAGCGATCTGCTATGTGTGTGTTTTTTATGTTTGATGCTTCTACGCAAGCATGGGAGAAGAAGAAGGGTAGGGTTTGGGCATCCGATCTGGCAGAGCTCAGAACACTTACCGGGGCATCCAGCACTATGAGCTGCAGCCAGGAGTAAAACAGAGACATGCAGAATTAGGAGACCCGGGCCCTCCCTTCTCAACACACTGATGAGATCACACTGAATACCCAAAGATGTAACCAGCAGGTATTCTTCTTCTACACGTATGTACCTAAAGATCTGCTGGGATGTCTACAGGACTGATGAAGGTTAACGAGGGACAAAGTTAAGAGAGCGTAACACTCACGATCATGCCGTGGAGGGGTAGCTGGCCGTGCACTTTGAACTGATTGGTCGCTGTCACACCTTTGCTTGTGTAGAGGAGCATGTCTGAGAACTGAAGAGACAGCAGAAATATTACATCTTTAAAATACACAAGTGCAAGTGTTGAAGCTTTTAATACAGTGTTGGTAGTTTTGTACTCACCAGGAAAAACATCCTTTGCTGCAGTCCTTTCTTGGTGAGCTTGTACAGACACCCCTCTCGTATGAACTCCTGAAAACAGAAGGTTTTCAGAGACTCAGTTTCCCAGCACCCCCTGCCCTCTGCTGCGTGTCACTGCACTCACCCTGCCCGGTGCCGTCAGGTTCTCGATCCCGATCAGGTCTCTCTGTAGCTCCGTCAGCTTCTGAAAGTTCTCCAGGCGGATCAGACTGCTCTGCAGCTGAGTGGCTATCTCTGCCACCTCCTTCAGAGCCTCTGTAGGGAGACACACAGCATGAAGTCAAGCAAAAAACACAAACCAACATCAGCTTCTTCCAACCATCTCAGCAGAGCAAAGAGAGGAGAAGGTTTCAGAAACTCACCCATTTTGAGAGCAGTTTTGCCTTAATTTGTAGATATTTTTTATAAGAAATGTGTAATTTTAAGTAAACCACAAGAATCAAGCCAGTATTACTCCCATCACTTGAATAGTTTACTTGACTGACAGTAAGGAAAGGCACATTTATTTATATAACACATTTTAGTATAAGGCATATCAAAGTGCATTACAAAAAACAATAAAAGCATAAGAACATAGTGCAACAGAAACATATCATAGAATTACATTGAAATGGTTTTAATAGAACTGGAAAGAAACCATCACAGTCTTCTGATGATAAATCCATGGAAACGTTTTTTCCGAATCATGCAGACAATGAAATCCCTTTAATCTGTGATATATTCTTCAGGTGATAGTAGGCTGACTTTGTGATTCTCTGAATGGGAATATTGAATTTCAGGTCAGAGTCCCGGACTACACTTCTTGTCTGGTATTTTCTGTTGTTGTTGTTAACATTGCCTATTGAAGCTGAGAATCATTCCTCCTGCTAAAATAAAATAAACACAATTCCTTAGTTTTATCTTGGTTTTATTGAAAAAAGTACTTGTGTTGGATCATAGTGTCCTTTAGTAAGTAACATGTCTAGGAAGGCCGGAAAAACTCTTCACCATATCTGTTTAACCTTTGTACCAAGATCAGACAACATAACATATCTGCCTAGAAAAATTAACTGTACAGCATTTAAATATTGAATAAAATGTGAATATCAACATTATAAATGAAGATCCAAACCAACAGAATAAATGGATACACTTTGTCATAAAACATAATGCATGTGTAAAGCACCTGACTGACTAAATATCTACACAATGAAAGACGTGAAAGAGGTCACGCCTATTATTCAGGACTTAGGACTTGTGATTGATCATGACTAATCACAGATTATTTTAGCGATTAAAGGAAATACATTTTGAAATGATTGACAGCAGTAGTACAAACATTTTTATGCAAACTCATTATTTAGTCATAAGGGTTTTTTTGTCTTGTCTTTATCAACTACAACTATCTTCAGTGTAAAACATTATCCACATGATCATTAGACTGTTGCCAAAGCAGAAGCAATACATTCATTTTGAAGTCGATAAAATCATTTTCAATTCATATTGAGAGTGAAGTCATTGGCTTATCCCTTGCATAATTAGAGAGGGGACATGAGAGGGGGGACTTACCCTTGCAGTCGTCATGGTCGCGATGGCTGGGGGAGTAATGCTTGCACAGCCTCTCCAGGATGAGTTTGTAGTGCATGAGACGCTGGATGGGCTTGAGCAGGAATGTGTTGAGGGGCAGGTAGCAGACCTTCTGCAGCTCAAACTCTTTGTACACCGTCTCCAGCTTCTTCAGCCTCTTAGAGGCTTTCTCCAGCTCCGTCAGCACCTCGTCGTGTTTCTGCAGGAAGCTGGTGAATTCCTGATGACGATAAAACACCAAGAGTGTGAAACACAGGACGTTCTGCTGGTGAGACAAACATTAGAGGAGAGTGGATTCTCACCTTTAGAGCACACATGTTCCTCAGCATCACATCACCAATCCTCTGGTAGTCCCCTTTGGCGTGAGCGTTAGAGCGCCCCTCCCTGAGGATTTGCACATTTTGCCATATATATATATATATATATACACATATATACATATATACATATACACACACAGTATATATATATACATACATACATACATATACATACACATACAGTATATATATATATATATATACATACAGTATATAGCATGAAAGGCGTCCACAAATCTTTATCACACAGAGATATGATAGACCCTCACACAATACAGCCTGTTGAAATTGTGCAATAAACTTGTAATGTGAAATATACAGCATATATTCTTTTATTTGGACAATTCTACTGTGCAATAATCATAATTTCCACGTGCAAAACCACATTTGTATAATATTTTAAAACCTTAATATGTTCACTTACCTATTTAAATGCTGTTTAGCCATGGATGAGTACTTATTTGTATTTTATTACTAATGTGTGCTTTTTTTCTATATTTAACATGTTAGCCACTCTTTATTATTGTCTGCCTTTTGTACCTGCCATGTCAATTTTGACGTAACTCTGTCCATTTCCCTGTTGTATAGGCTAAGAAAAGGAATTCTGATTCTGAAACAGTGAGGGGGACATACCAGAGAGCCAGCCTCTGGTCTAACTCCTTGAGGAAGCCTCGATGGAATTCGTAGATGGGGTCGATGTTGGAGAAGAGGAGGGTCATCAGGCCTTCAGGCATGGCGTTTTCTTTGATCACAGCGCTGCGAAACCACTGGGAGCGGGGGGAGGGAAACACACTGTTGATGCCAATGCTCTCCTAATAAATTAACTGGTGTGCAAAAATGAAAACTGTAAGTGGGTTTATGAGTTGGCCATAGAAAGCATTAACCTTCACTTATCAGAGCACTGTAAACTATTTAACCTTATAAGCCCGACATTGTTATACAGGGGAATGTATCAAATTCAAACTATAAAACCATGTCAACAAAAACTCACACAAACATAAAGAGGAAAGGGAAAGCAACCTTAGGAGGTAGAATGATAGACATGATGCAGTTACAATCTAAAGCTTCAGGTTTATTCTCTTCAGTTTCCTCCAGCTGCTTAACTCACCTTGGGTCACACAAAGAGTATTATTTGCATTAATGAATAATCATGCATTATGGTCCCCACCATTATGAAATGAGTCCACTCTGGCTAAACCTTCATAATGATTTGCTAAAAAGTACTTTGAGAAAAACATAACATTTCCATTGAATATATGTGGCTGGCCTGCAGGATAATAAACAGTGATTATTCTAACCATCAGTCAAGACTCTGGCTGAGTTCTCTCGGAGTTTATTGAGGGGCATATGCTTTGCATGTGTGCTGAATTGTTCTGTAGTGGGCTGAGGAAAGATTGGTAAACAGTATTTACATTTCATATATTTATAAAATCTAGGGGTTAAGAACGAACACGTTTGGAGACCATGTACAAATGATGTTCAGATTTAAATTATGCATATCTGTGTGAGGACAATAATCTAAGTAAAAAAAAATGTGAGTCTTCCCATAATCAGTAGTTTAATAGAAAAGTATTTTTGTAGTGAACTGATTATCAGTAAGGTATAGATTCAAGATTATAAGGCTTTAATGTCATATGCACTCAAGCTACAGTGTAGAAATGGCAATGAAAACCTTTCCGAGCTCCTCCAAAAATGCAATGTAGTTATATAAGACATAAAACAAAACAAATTCAAAATAAAATAAAAATAGTGCAAGAAGAAACTGAGTAATTAGAATAGTGCAGATTAGGTTGCAGACCAATGTGCAAATAGGGTATTTGTTATTCTTGTTCAATGTCTATGAAGTTATAGTTTATTTTGTACATTTTGTCTTGTTATCACCTATTCCACATTATATTAATAGAAGCATACGGTGCAGGTTTCTATGTTTGTTTTTTAAGGACCACATTAGGGTTCTTAAAATGTAAACTGTGATGTTCAAAGATCAGAAAAGAATGGCAGTGAATGGAGACATGTTGATGCTGCTGCAGGGTGTTGATGTATACGGTATGAGCATGCTGCAGATTGATCTGACTATTTATTTTTTCATTAGGCTGATTTTCTAACTTTTGGTATTCATGATGTGTTCTTTCTCTATTTTATCCCAAAAGCACTATACAGGACTGTCTCAGAAAATTAGAATATTGTGATAAAGTTCTTTATTTTCTGTAATGCAATTAAAAAAACAAAAATGTCATACATTCTGGATTCATTACAAATCAACTGAAATATTGCAAGCCTTTTATTATTTTAATATTGCTGATTATGGCATACAGCTTAAGAAAACTCAAAAATCCTATCTCAAAAAATTAGAATAGTTCCTCAGACCAAGTAAAAAAAAAATATTTATAACAGCAAAACACAATCAAACATTTGAAAATGTCCATTAATGCACTCAGTACTTGGTTGGGAATCCTTTTGCACGGATTACTGCATCAATGCGGCGTGGCATGGAGGCAATCAGCCTGTGGCATTGCTGAGGTGTTATGGATGCCCAGGATGCTTCAATAGCGGCCTTTAGCTCATTAGCATTGTTGGGTCTGGTGTCTTTCAGCTTCTTCTTCACAATACCCCACATATTCTCTATGGGGTTCAGGTCAGGGGAATTTGCAGGCCAATCGAGGACAGTAATGCCATGGTCAGTACACCAGTTACTGGTGGTTTTGGCACTGTGGGCAGGTGCCAGATCATGCTGGAAAATGAATTCCTCATCTCCATAGAGCTTTTCAGCAGACGGAAGCATGTAGTGCTCTAAAATCTCTTGGTACACAGCTGCATTTACTCTGGGCTTGATGAAACACAGTGGACCAACACCAGCAGCTGACATGGCTCCCCAAACCATCGCTGATTGTGGGAACTTCACACTGGATTTCAAGCAACTTGGATTTTGCTCCTCTCCAGCCTTTCTCCAGACTCTGGCGCCTTGACTTCCAAATAAATACAAAACTTGCTTTCGTCTGAAAAGAGGACTTTGGACCACTGTGCAACTGTCCAGTGCTTCTTTTCCTAGCCCAAGTCAGACGCCTCTTCCGTTGTCTTGAGTTCAGAAGTGGCTTGACCATGGGAATACGGCTATTGTAGCCATTTCCCGGACACGTCTGTGAACAGTGACTTTTGATACCTGGACTCCAGCTTCAGTCCACTGTCTTTGAAGCTCCCAAATTCTGGAAGCGACTCTCTGAGACAATGCTGTTAAGGCTGCGGTCATCTCTCTTGGTTGTGCAGCGTTTCCTGCCACATTTCCCCCTTCCAACAGACTTTTTGTGGATGTGCTTTGAAACTGCACTCTGTGAACAGCTTGCTCTTTGAGAAATTTCTTTTTGTGTCTTACCCTCCTGATGGAGGGTGTCAATGACGGTCCTCTGGACAGCAGTCAGATCAGCAGTCTTCCCCATACTTGTGATTTAGTTTACTGAACCAAGCTGAGTGTTTTTCAAGGCTCAGGAAACCCTTGCAGGTCTTTCGAGTTAATTAGACGATTCAAGTGATTCGTTGAACACCCTACTAGTATACTTTTTCATGATATTCTAATATTTAGAGATAGGATATTTGAGTTTTCTTAAGCTGTATGCCATAATCAGCAATATTAAAATAATAAAAGGCTTGCAATATTTCAGTTGATTTGTAATGAATCCAGAATGTATGACATTTTTGTTTTTTAATTTCATTACAGAAAATAAAGAACTTTATCACAATATTCTAATTTTATGAGACAGTCCTGTATGTGAAGAAATTTGTGCTGCGTTTCTTGCATGAAAGTGCTGTACGAATAAAGTTCATCATTAATACATTGCATAGGCCTAGGTTAATCCAAACAACAGGAAATAAAAAGTAACTCACCACAGTGATGACCTCGAGGTCTTTCAGGTACGTTCGCTCTGTGGTCAGAATCTCTTTGGCAATGAAGTAGGCCTTGTCGGTGGGATATCGCTGAGGCAAAGGAGGGACACACATTTTAAAAAAAAGTGATGATCAACATTCCCTCCAAGAGAAAATTCAAATAATACTAACTTCAAAACTAGCTTTCCCTTATACAGGATTCAAATGTTGAATACAAATTTTGAACGTTATGAATGAAGCTTCACACTAAGTAACAATAAATGGATTCACTTTCTGTCACACGAACCATGTATTGCATGTGTCACGTCTTATTATTCATCCCTCCTACTCTAAAGGGGCTGTGAGGCAGTGTACCTTCCTCCTGCCCTCCTCATCCTCCTCTAGCCTGGCATTGCTGCCCACCTCGCTCAGGATTGGGCTTTGCAGGGGGGGTGAGGCCTGTCCCGGCAGGCTGAGGGTGGACATCTGGAAGGAGGGAGACATGCAGAGGGAGGGGCCTTTGGAGGTGAAGGGGGAGTGCTGAGGGCTGTCCACCAATGCATCTGTGGAAGAAGGAAAACATACACTTAAAAAAGTATANNNTTTCCCTTATACAGGGATTCAAACATGTTTGCAATACAAATTCTTCTTTGAACGTCCTGGTCGATGGAGTACATGACAAGCCTTCACCACCTTAAGGCAACACAATAAAAATGCGGATTTTCACTTTCCTTGCTCACAGCAACCGGATGCATTGCATCGGCTGCACGGTCTTTGTAGATGTAGTTCATCTGGCCTCCTTTACCCCGTAAAGGGGTCCCTGCGTGTTTGCAAGGCAGTGTAACCTTCCTCCGCGCCCTCGCTCATCCCTCCTCTAGCCCTGGATTGCTGCTCCCCCACCTCGCTCCCAGGATTGCCGGACTTTGGCAGGCGGCGGTGCTGCAGCCTGTCCCGCGTACAGGCCTGAGCGCGGTCGGGACTCTGGCAAAGCCGAGGGGCAGACATGCAGGAGCGGGCATGCGGGGCCCTTTTTTGGACGGTGGGAAGGGGCGAGGTGGCTGAGGGCCTGGTTCCACCAATGCCATCTGCTGGGGCAAGAAGGAAAAGCATACACTGTAAAAAAGGTAACAGAGTAGGGTTACGCTTAGGAGGGGCGAGATATCGGTAGGTGGGTAGGGTTAGGGGGTTGCTGTGTGTAGGGAGCTATCTAGGTAGGCGCCTATATAATATTTATTGTAATAACGATTATATACTCCGGGCGGGAGAGGTCTTGGGCTACGTAATCTATACTTTTGTTTACAGTATAGTATCAGAATAAGCAGGCTAAAGGCTTTTTAACAATTCAGTTTAAAATCGTATAACATTGGCAACTTATTCAGCTCAAATAAGTAAATTGATGTTGCAGCTGCCACCAGGTGTTGTGCGTGTGACGATACAATTGGTTATTCAGTTAAATTATATTGAACTATTCAGCTCAAATAAGTAAAGATTGCAGTGCAAGGTGTTGTGGTGTGAATTACAATGGTTAAAGGACTCTTCCCAAACAGGAAAAACATGATCTTGAGATGGGCGGGGTTAAAGTCACATGCTCTTCACAAGAAGTGGAACTAAAAAAGCTTAACAGTGCTTAATGGTGCAGACAGTCATGAGACACAACTTTATCTTAACCTTGCTTTTTTCCCATAATTATCTAATTTCCTCTCAGAAAACAAACACATTTAAACTAAAACAAGTGGAGGGGTTCCTCAGAAACCCTGGCCACAAATGAAAGGGAGACAGCAGAGGGGAGTAATGGTTCCCACATTTCCCCCCTGCCATTGTTTTCAGAGCCCTCCACAAGTAGGACAAAATGATTCATTGCCAACTCAAACTCGCTCCGGCTCCATTTCAGAGAACTGGCTCTTCTTGCTTTTGTTCTGCCTGTGAGCTTCACTACACAACAAATGAGGAGACATAACATGCAGATGAAACGCTGGGCTATTCCCTCACTGAGTCACAGGTCACCACAGCTGCTCCTCCACTACTATCAGAGAGAAAAACAGGAACGGGGAAAGGCTGAGAAAAAAAAAAAAATTAACTACTCGACCCGGAAATAATTGCTCAAGCAAAGACCTATCGGGAATGTGGCTTGTCAGGAGGGCCGATGTTGTTTATAGTTTGTTCCCACAGGGAATGACATGAGGGGGAACGGCTCCACAGCAGGAGGACGGGGCTGCACTCTGGAATGACTTGGCACAGAGCCTGTGCAAACAGCCATCGCACTCAGCTGGAGTCAGACTGAGGAATCCTGATCCGGCCCAACCCCCAACAGCACACGTTTATTGCATGCCTTAACAGTAAAAAGGCAGTGTGTATTTACTCATTGCATCTTTTTCAATTATTGTTACACTGTAAATCCCTCCATACCAATATGGCTATTCACTTTCTAGAACAATAAGTGATTTAGAAATTCAAAAGAGTATGTGAAGACATCAGGATCATTTTGAGCATGTTGCACCTGCAAGTGAAACCAGCTTTTACACTTTGTATGTGGGATATCAAGTTTGTTGAGTTTTGTGAATGAATTAGCACACCTTTACACAATATGTCCAGTTTGTCTGAGTATAACCCCCAAAGCCTAGTATTTCTACAACAATCCAAGGTAAACATTATATTTCTTGATCTAAGACATGAATATTCTTTCAATGTGCGCATTGCAAGCATGTCTAACACCACTGGTGGTTTCTCTTAAAAGCAGTTAAAGAATAACCTCCACATTGCGTCTTCGATTTACGGCTGTGTAACTTAAAAAATAATGTTAAGTCTTGACATTCATGGTAACAAAAAGTGATTACTTTATTCTTGAGAGTAAAAGCATACACACATTAAAGTACAGGTTGTTGATAATAGGTCAATATACATACGTTCAGGATTAAGTGTTGATTACTTGATGCCTGAGTGCTGTTAGCTTAGCTGATTATAATCTATCAGCCCGTTGTTAATTCAATATTTAATTGAGATTTCGGAAAAATCACATGGCAGAAAAAAGGCAACTCCTCCGGGTCTAATAGGTAACTGATGGCACATGAAACTAAACACTGTTCCAGACTCTCCAAGCTGACACGACTGTTCACAAAGTGTTCATTGGGAAAAATGTAAAATGGCCATCCTCAAAATAACAATGAGAACTTGTGAGTGTTTAACAAATGACTCTTGATTACTAAAGAGGAGAACTTAATTTAGACAACCCCTTTTCCACATAATGTTCGGCGGCAACATCTAGACTATATTGAAAAGTAAACAGGATCCTACACCTGAGATATGCAACATGTTGCATGAGAAGAGTGGAGTAAGTGCTATAAGGCACGAGGATAAAAGAAGACTATCATGTACAGAAATAGCAAATTGTGCAAGTGAATTATTCTGACAAATAAAGTGAGCTCAAAAGCAAACAGGAACTTGCTCTTGGCAAGTGACATGAGTTAATGAACAAAAACACTAGTGATTATTTTGATATGAACACAGTATAAACGTTCTGTGTTCTATGGCACGAGTGCATTTATTTTAAGAAAGACTTGACTAAACAAAAAGAGCATTTAAAAAAATCTTTGTGCATGCTATTGTGTCACAACGAATTACCGTTCCTATACAAATACTTTAAAAAAAAACATCACAACATCCAGCTAATATAAAAGTACAGAGAAATTCATAGTTAATGTGCAAAAGATGCCCGTTTCCTTCCAATCAACAGATAACCACCTTGTTCGTACCCTGACCATAGCTAACGCTAAAACTTGCTAAAGGCCATATGAAAGAGACATCAAATGAGTTGTAAACATTTTCAATAAAAGCCTTCTCTATCTAAAGGGTTTCCTACAACTTACAAACATTGATCTTTCTGATGTTGAAAAGCACTGCATTCTTAGTTTGTGAAATAAGTGAGTGCTTCTGTACTGTTATTTATATAAGCACAAAGCCTTACGAACGTGTACAATGATACATTCATTTAGTAGAAAGTGGTGTTAGCAGTGTGCTCAATGGCTCTTTAATACACTGCTTACATTCTTTAACATAGCTCAGCATGAGGCAAAATGTTATTTGTGTCTAAAATAGATTTGTATCCTTCAGACATCATGAACCTCCATGACACAGTCTACATACTGTGAACTAGTCCACGTGGATAGTGCTGAGTTGAGCCAGCAGGTGTCAGCGAGGCACAGAAGTGCAAACTGAAAAGGAGCTCCAATGCTGCAGTGTTCTCAAACGGAAGGCCTGTGAGTATCCCTGACTGGGACCACTATCTCTTTGATTTTTACTCTTAGTTAATACAGATTATCAATGTGTAGCTACTGGAAAATTGCACATGCACTAGCAACTGAGAAATTAGATTTTAAAGCCAATTGATTTTGATTTAAAAACTGCATTTGGTCAGCACAAAATTAAATGATATCACATCTTACCTGTTGGTCAAGTTATTATAAAAAAGAAAATGGGGTAGAAATCATTATAAAAAAATATTTTACTTTTCTATATCTGTTTCATTAAATTTAAACTATTAAGCCATGCAAAATGGGATGAAAAACATTATTTAACTTTTATCTGAAATCCAGATTTCAATGTATTCAGCATATGGGATGCTTATCTAAAAAGACGTTCCAATGTCAATGTGTATATTAATGTTTTAAATGACATGAACATCTTTTGAATTATATAAAGCTTCCAAAGTAAAAGCACATAATGTTTTATTTTTCTGAAATTCATGAGATTCCCCAATAATCAATGTTTGCTCTAAATAAGCTGAATGTTCCAGAGAGGACAACTGACAAAGACTATGAAAGGACTAGGTTATTCAAGAATCTCATGAAAATTAAGGTCACATATAAACCAAGTGTCATGAGAAGTACAAGTCCAGATCTTAAAACTAAAACACTACAAAGATGTGCACCAACTCTGACGGGAGTGCAGGCTGTTAGAAATGACTCAGAGTATATCTTTTATACATGTTTTTTAAAGAGTATGGTTAAAAAAAACTTTGGAGCCATGGAACGAGGACATACAAATAATCAACAATGTCTGAGATTAAAGAGTTAATATCCTGTGTGAATAAACATTTTGTTTTTAGCACATCTAAAAAAATCAGAGATTATAGTCACAAATTGGGGGGAAAGGCTTCACTTTGCCAGGTTTGATCAACCTACTACTTATTGTCATTATTAATTATCAAGTACTTAAAATATGGGTGATTTACATTTTAAAATGAGGCGGTCCAGAGGGGTCTGCGAGTGCCATGGCCTGCAGGTTATGGCACTGAAGGAGGAAACCCTCAATTCCACTGCCCCCCGTCAGCGGATTACTATAGAACAGGTTCTGCTCGGGGGGAAGGACACTATCAGAGCCCCAGTCGGAGTCTGAGTCCGAGCTGCCGTTCCCAGAGCCCTCGGTGGTCGTGGGGGGGTAGCTGAGCTGCTCCAGCTGCTCAACCAGGTCACTGAACTGCACAGCAGAGCTGCTCTCAGAACGCTCCGAGTATGCCGGGAAGTTGACCAAGGAGCTGGCCTCTGATTGGATATCAGAGCCTGGCAGGCGGAGCGAGGAGGAGTCGCCCCCCCCGTAACTCGCCGACAGGGACTCGCCTGCAGAGCTGAGCCCCAGGTTGTCCAGGGAGCTGCACTCAGAGCGGTTAATAACCAGAGAGCTGGTTTCAGAATTACCCACAATGCTATCAGGAAAGGGATTGGTGTTCCCATTCAGGTCCTCAATGCCCACACTAAAGATCCTGTTTTTACTCAGGTCAGATCCCTCCACAAAATCAAACTGATCTCCCTTATCATCCAGCCCAAAAGAATAGGCCTCGGCACCCCCACCATAAAAGGAGATCTCAGTGGGATCATCATCTATGAACTCCTCACTGACGTGCAGCGGCGAGTTGGACATGGAAAACATGGCATTCTGTTTTGTACGCAAAAGCTCTGCCTCAAAAGCCTCAGGTGTAAGAACCCCCTTTCTCCTCCCCCCACCTCCTCCCACTGAGCTACCTGTTCCCCTCCTACCACCATGCTCATGATCCTCATTGCCATTTTTGGAAGGCTGTGATTTGGAAGTGACACTCTCTACACAAACAAACAAGGGGCTGCAGTGTCCTGCTGCCTGATTGCTAAGGGCACCTTGAAAAGCGAAGTGAGATGGGGAAGCAGCCTTGACAGGGTCTTCCTTCAGAGGGCTGGGGGGTGTGGCAGCTTGCACAGGGAGCTGAAGCTGCTGCTGGGGAGGCGCTGGAGACCGGTTCGGCGTGGCAGGATGCGGCTGTGGTTGGAGCTCTCTTCGCGGGAGGACACTAGAGATGTGTGATGAGTAGAAGGACGCAGAAGCGGAGGAGGGGGAGCCTTGGGCCCTGAAACTGTCATTGAATGACAAGCTCTGAAAAATGGACACAGATAATGAACACAGAGTGAGGCAAGAATCAATTGGGGTAGAAAGCAGATATTCATTATCTTAGTGTATTCGTTATAGTACAGTATGCTGAAAGCTCAAATGTGTTGCACCCTGGAAAACCACCGACCTGTTTTGGCACATCTGAGGCGAGGGAGCGAGCAGACATTCGGATTTTACTGTTTCTCCTGAGCAAGAAACGGGGCATGTATATTTGTAAACAAACAAACCAATATAGGTATATATATATATATATATATATATATGTACCAAATGTAAAAACACACACCTCTGGTACGGAGTTCTCTTTGCTCCATTTTCCCTGACGTAGTCCACAAGTTGCTTCTGGGTCCTTCCACTGGGAAAAGAGTTAAGAATTAAAACACAGAATACTTTACGGAGCCAGGGGCAAGCATTGTGTTGGATGAGATATGCCTTTTTTGATGTCGTTTAAAAATTACCTGTATCTGAAGGAAGAGCCTCTGGTGAAGAGGATAGCTTTGGATTTGGGCTGTGGTTGGTCAAACAAACGGAAAAATGAGTGGTATTCCACACAGATCTTCCAGAAGATTTTACATTGGTCACGACTGGCCATCATAAACTCGAGAGTGTCCTGATGAGGGCCCTAGAAACATATAGAGAAAGACAACAAACACAATGTTAACGAGCCTCCTCCTAATTGGCTGTGGATCATGGGACACACCAATGAAATAACAGCCACCATTAACATTTTGTGAATAAGGACAATAATCTGTTCTCCAAGACGTACATGAACCTCTGGGTGGAGCTTGATCAGGAAGCGTGTTCTCTTGAAGCTCAGTTTGCGAATCTTGGACCAATTGAAGGTATTTATTTTTGTGTTGCCCTGGGAGGAAAGTGGAATTTTAACATAGAAAGTAATAACCCTGATAGCAACATTTTGAGGGACTGATGGTGACCTCAACAAAACACAGCTGTATGAGTCACCTGGAAAACCTGAAGGCCCATATGAGCAACAGCCAAATTAATTTTGGTGCCTTCCCGGTCAGCGGCTGGGTGGAAGCGGACACCGTACATCTCCAGTTTACGGGCAATCTCCAGGATTTGGAAGTCTGATTCAGCTGGAGTCTGGCCCCTGAGAGCGTGAATAGGGAAAAAACATATCAGGGGTTTGTCTAAACCGGGTAACAGGGGTGCTGCGCCCTCTTACTTTCGGAGTGTGCCCTCATACCAAAATGCCGATTTTCCCCTTAACATTTTAAAGTGATGCCAAAAAAACAAATTTCTGTTAGTCAAAAACTCTATGATAACTCCAAATATAAAAATGTTGTCAAAAAGAGCGCTAGACGGCGCTCTCAGGATTTATTTGTTGTTTGAGGTGCATTATATGACTCAGCAGCTTTAAGACATGAAGAAACTATTATTTTCCGCTTCGCTCTAATGCAATATTTTTGCCGGAAAGTGCGCGGGCCGTAATTTGGGCCGGAAGTGACTTTGCGCCCTCATACTATATTTTTCTAGAAAACCCCTGCATATAACTGTATGCTGTTGTCTTCAAGCAACCAAATCAGTTTCCTTTTTTTCCAATGATGTATCCAAACAGACTAGTGGAATTCCCCAAGGCTCTAACCTTGAGCCTCTTTCATTTAACCTTAACAAAGAATTGACAGTGTGAACTGTGCTGCATAAGTATAATTAGGTAAAAGTGCATCTTTCAATAGGCAGATATAGTTTAGTATAACTAATAAATCCTTACCAAAATCTCATAATTAATCCAGTTAATACAAAATTGGAGCCCTTACTTTTCCAGGAGAACATTTTGATGAGGCATTGTTGAAGACACCATTTGGCCGTAAACTAGATTGCACCAACAACACTCAGCTCCGATATTAAGTTTGATTTTGGACTGTGAATTTAAGTTAAGGAAATATATTGCATGAAAAAAAAAGTGTCAAATGTCTATGAATCTGCAAATCAAAACAATATATTTACTTATTATGGGCATACTTAAACTCAACCCTGCACTGAGGTCAGCATGTTTGTCATTTTCTCTTCTCACAACAGCGAATGCCTGTCACTAGAGTCATACAGTATTTCTAACTGATACTTTTCTGGTGTGCTGCAATAAATGGGTTATAATGAGTTAATGCTGCTGTCTTACACCATTAGGCTGTACACTAGATTGTAGCAACAACAATACTGAGAGATTACGTTTGACTCTGTATTTTCCTGTCGTCCAAAGAGCAGCAAAATAATTGTGTTCCTCTAACAAACAAGGTTAAAATCACAATCGACCAGCCTTATGGAGCATTAAGCACAGTTTGGTGCCTTGTGTAAAGTATGCAATCTCTGTCTATTTGATATGAGATTCAAACAAAGATAGTACCATGACTCCTTTGCAGAAGACTGTGTCCTTAGATCCCTTACAACTTTGAGAAGTCTGTATCTTAAACCATGTGATTACAACCAAACAGCATGTTAGGAAGACATATCCATCCAATCATCACCAGATTCTAATTTTGTTCATCCGTTAAGCGTTGAAATCTTCTTAGGGCCCTCCCCTGCCCCTCTGGCCTTTTGGCTAATAGAGCGGCCAGAGCAGAGGATTAGGCCAGGGAACTCAACGCTTGTGCTTCAACACTGGCAACCAAGGGAAGAGATTAGACATGGTATTTAGAGCCGCCTAATACACTGGTTTGAAAAGAGACCCTATTGGTTGCTGAATATAGTACTGAGCTAACAAGGGGGCTGGTGGTGGGAAAAAAAGCAGCAAGGGGTTTTGGACTCTGAAATGGAAACCCTCTCATTATGGTATTTGAGCAAGAACACAGTTGTCTCAGTTTATTTAACTCATTATAGTTAACACTAAACATTTGAGATGAAAGACACATTAAACAGGGGTATAGACAACGTGACACCAAAAATTCCCCAAGAATATCATTCATGTGCGACGCTGGTTGAAATGATGCCAACTACTGTAAGAGGACATGTATTGGAGAGTCTAACAAATTTATAAAATGCCTCCAAACTTAAAACAAGTTTGAGAGGGCTGTTTATAATTAGTCTCTTCTTACAACAGCTAATTCATCTCACTGAAGCATACTGTAGTTCTACAGTGATACTGTTCTGGTGTGCTGTGATGAATGGGTTGTATGAGTTAATTTTGCCTTCTTAGAGCAGATAATGATCAGCATAACCCACACTACCAGGCCCTGCTAGTCAGCCAGGTCAAGCCTTGACAGTCCTTGCATGAACTGAGCCGTGTCCATGTCACAGTAAACTGGCTTAATGTAGTCAGGAGTGAAAAGTCACATTTACTTCTGTTACTCTTAATAGGTAGACATTTGTGTTTTTATTTGGTGTTGCATTCGTTAGAGAGTGCAATCAAAACATGAATTGTATAAGAACACAAAAAAGCAGCCACAACCAGACCTGTTAATGGAACAGCACATGGGACTTGAGGGAGCAACTTACAGGTGCCTGCGGTGCAGCTCCATGATCCTCTCTTGCACCTTCTCTTGGTAAGGCAACAGCTTGGTCGTCCTCAGGAAGTCACGGTCGGCTACGCCATCGTAGTCGCCGATCTCCGCTGTGGTCAAAGCAAGAGCCATACATCAGGTTTTCAGAGTACACTATATTAAACGTTTATTAAGCCATGTCAGCTGGCTTAATACACTGTTATTAGTGTGCACATTAATTTAAATAGGGTATAAGTCATAATTATCCCATTCTTATGCTTTTCATTTACATATTTCTGGTGGTTGGTTTATGTTGTTACTCAGTTTGAGTTTGAATCCTACTTCTTTGAGGTTTTAAGTCCCATGTTACTTTTGGATTTTCATTAAAACAGGTCATTCATAAATCCGTCATGCTTGAATATGAAAATGAAATACAACAGATGAAAAAATTAGCAACCATAATAGAGGTTTGTTCAACCGTTTGTTCATTTGGACATGGCTTTCAGAGAAACACCTCTATATTCGATATTAGAGATCAACAGCAGCAAACTGCAACCTCAAAATCAAGTAAACAAAGACAAATGTAACTACAGAACAACCAAGTACTGTGTTAAAATGAAAGCTTAAACATACACTGGACAAGGTGAGAGGCCAGCAGAGCGCCAGTATTTTCTGTGCATATCAACCTGCCCTCCATCAGATCTCTTTTCATCTGCAGCGAGAATAAGTACCTAGGTAAACAAAGCAAAAAAATGCTTAGTGTACATCATTTATATTCATGTGAGGTAAGTTAATATCATCCAACAGGCCGCCACAAAATAACTGCTTGAGATGCATGCATTGACAAAGTTTAACAGACTGCAGAAAGAATTTCAATAACATTCTTTCGAGGACAAATATTGTAATTCCCTGAAAAAGCATAAGCATGGGCTTTTCTGAGAGGAAAAAAATAAATCTGTGTATTTTTTTTAAAGCCCCTCTACACATGCATGAGATAAAAGTACAGGGTATATGCAGGAATCCTGAGGTCAAATTTAATACCTTTTAAGACCTTTTTTAAGACCCTTTCCATACATTTTAAGACCTCATCGCAACTTTGAGTTCTAACTGGTTACATTGGCTACACACTTTACCTCACATTTACTATATTGATTGTAAGATAGCACAACTAAACAGAGTGCAGACAGACTACTGAAGCCTCCTCTCCACATGAACTTCCGCCTCTCTGTGAAGGTCAGGTTTAATGTAGTATGCTGCTTTGTTGCTTCTGTAGACTGTGCTCTTTCATTCCAGTAAAACTCCTCAGAAACCATTATTTGACCAATAAACAAAACAATTGACAAAACTTTGAACTATGAAATATATTAAACTTTGGTGAGCTTCAGCGGGGTAATGCCATATAGGAGCTCCCTCACAAATACCCAGGGGTTAAATTGGGCTGGGGCTNTCCTTGATAATCCATGATATGGCGTTTCATCACGGCAGTATTTAGTTTAGACAGTAGCTGCCGGGTCCCGCATGAGCTCAGCCCCCTCCTTTTTTATTTTGTATCAATCTTCTTTTTTTTTAAAGCTTTATACCCAAAATCAGCACTTTTGAAACAGGAAGTGAAATAGAGGGATATGAGGCATGGCTAGAATGGGTGATCTGTTTGGTATTTTGAGCAAAACACTTCATAGACATGTTTTTGATATATTTTTATATATCTGAGACCTATGCTATTGCCTAGAAATAGCATGATAGGTGACCTTTAAAGTCTTCGAAACAAGTGTGGTTTGAAGTGCTCTTTAAAGAGAGAAAAACAGTTTCCCAAAAACAATCTTTTCTATTTAAAAGGTTAAGAACATGGCAAACCAGATGTGATGTTAAGACAACACATCCAGCGTGTGAATAAAAACAACCATTACCCTACAGTCAACGAGGAGAATCAACCTAAATTGTGCTTTTGCGCCAATAGATATTATCACTGTGTTGTTGGTAGCACAAAAAGTATTACGTTTACCAAACAAGACCACGAGTCATAGCCACGTTAGCAGCTTCGTTAGATTGTAATGGTCTTTGTAAGAATACCAGACTGTTTGATATTTAAACCAAATAATGAACAAATGGTTATATTGAACATTTTATCGTAAGGTCCTACAACATGACAACTCACAAAAGTACACAAAGGCAATACGAATTTGCACCAAATTGCTTGGTAAGGAAGACCTGTGTCTCTACACTGCCAGCACATCACTGACATTTTTGCACTACAATTTAGGTCTATTTATAGGGTTTTTCGTAGTTTTGTTTATGATAACATCGCACTCAACAAAAAATGGGAAAGCATTGCAAACATCGCTTCTGACATGGCGAAAAAAGTCTGTTGTAAACAAGCAAACAGTGAAGAGAGATTATCTAAACAACTTTATTCGGAGGTCAAACCAAATATGAGCAAACAGCAGGTGAATGTTCTTCATATCATCTAAAAATGACGGCAACACTAACAACGCAAGATTCATGTTGCAATAAAGTGGAATCATTCTCTAACACAAAAAGGAAATCACATAATTTGAGGATCATAAGTTTTTGCACCCATCTGTTTTAGGCAGTGCAGCGGAGCAGGTGAGGATAATAATAAATCACAAGCAAATGGCTTCTGAAGCCAAAGTCAAATTCAGTCATTGAAGCAGGGAGAAGGGAGGGTCGATGATGAGGGGTGTTTTTCTTCTTCGCTCCCTGTGGGAAAAAAGGGGGCTCAGGACATGCTGGCATCCCACGACACACTGAAAGGGGGCGGATAGTGGTGGAGGTGTTGGTGGTGGTGGTGGTGGGGGGCATTTCTTTATTTTGTTCTCCCCCCTTCCTCTAACTCCATACTGCCTCGCTGCACTCAACTCCGCCCCTTCCGTGAGCCGGGAGGTGGTCGAGGAGTGTGTGTACATTTTTGTGTGTGTGGAAAGTGTTGGGGGCTCTTATTGAAGCCGAACGGAGTGGAACCTCTCGCATTGTCTCCCCTCCTGCAGCCCACCCCCTCGCTACCTCACCCCCCGTCTTCCTCCTCCTTTCTCCAGGGACAAAGAATGCCCTGAATGCCTGGCGTCTCCTGCAGTGTCAAATAACTAAAGGATAGGTGGAATGGTGGCAAGGGCCCAGGAGGAAGAGGAGGAAGAAGAAGAAGAACATTACAACTCTCAGGAAGTTATGGTTGACTTCATTATTCTTATGCATATCTTTATATATATTTATCAAAACTGACTCCCCATATGTCGTTCCGGCTAACAATGTCCCATACATAAACATAATTTTCTCCCAGGAAGACCCATTTGAGCTTTCTTTTAATTAATCACCTCTCTGGCATCTAAACTACTAGTTTAGTGAACGATAGAAGGCATGGGTACAGTCCTTTTTTATTTTTATTTTGTACTTCATGACCTGTTGCAAAATTAAAACAACAGACAATAGCTTATAAAATAACTATTTGTTTGTCTCCTGCCATGCTTTAAGCTCTTTTGGCATGCACAGCTTTGAGCTAACGCTAGTAGGCTAAGATGCTCTCAATACCAATGCTTACACCAGGGTTGCCAACTCTCACGCATCTGGCGTGTGACACACGTTTTCACTCTCGATGTCATCTCACACTGCCCAAACTATTCTCACGCCAAAAACAAGATGAACCGGCGATCGTTTTTGGTTGGTTATTTACAATGTTGAGTTGACAGCTGCTCAAGCTGTCGATCCGCTCCCAGTTTGGAGTAAGTCTGTAGATTTGTTTGTGTCTGTGTGTTTCATGTATAGGCCTCTCACGATAATTAATTTTGTTGGATACATTTTCCCGGAAATTATTGCGATAAACGATAATATTGTCGGCACCATTGTATGACCATTTGAGACCACTGACATCATGATAATATATAATAATAATTCAAGTACATCCTTTCAAACTGCTAGTCACATCCTCATGTAAATGGCAATTTATCGAGGTCAGAAAAGTTATGGAGTTCATTTTTATTTATCGTACGATAAGTCAATTAATTGCTTATCGCGACAGGCCTATGCACACAATAAAACAGTGGAAACAAACATGTGTTTGACTTTCATTAGTGAATGAATCTTTGTGCCCTTTATAGTCTGTGTCCAATATTGTGTATTTGTATATATTGTATATATATCCTATATATCTATGCTAAAATGAGCATGATAACAATGCTAACATGTTTACAATAACAATGCTAACATGTTTCCAACAACAATGCTAACATGCTCCCAATATCAATGCTAACATGAGCATGATAACAATGCTAACATGAGCATGATAACAATGCTAACATGTTTACAATAACAATGCTAACATGTTTCCAACAACAATGCTAACATGCTCCCAATATCAATGCTTACATGCTCACAATAACAATGCTAACATGAGCACGATAACAATGCTAACATGAGCATGATAACAATGCTAACATGTTTACAATAACAATGCTAACATGGTTCCAACAACAATGCTAACATGCTCACAATAACAATGCTAACATGAGCACGATAACAATGCTAACATGAGTATGATAACAATGCTAACATGAGCATGATAAAAATGCTAACATGCTTAAAATAACAACGCTATCATGCGACTGCTAAGCAAGTAGGCCTACAGTGTTTACCATGTTCACCTTCTTAGTTTAGCATCTTATCATGCTAATAATGTGCTAATTAGTAAATAGAACCAAGTACAAAGCTGAGGCTAATGGGAATGTCGTTCATTTTGTAGGTAGCTTATTTGGTGCAGTCTATTTGAACCTTTTCTAACAAAGTTGAGGGTTGTTCAGGGTTGAACTTGTACTTTTTGTTGGCCCATTCATCCAGATTTACCGAATAATTTTCACAGAGGTATGAAGCTTGACTCATCAATCAAACAGCCAATGGGCTAGTCTCTTTTTGGTAGGAAGTTACATGTATACTAGGTTGATGTTGTTGTTAGCTTATGATGGTAATATCATTTCTCAGTTCTTATCCTCCCACAGTTCAGATTTTAATGAATAGAACTGCAGTAATCCTCTTTTAGTTTGATTGATTATGGGAGCGGACAGTTCCATTTCTTAATTTGATACAGAAAATTAAATCTAATAATTCATGGGATGCTGCTTTGATTTTGGCACTGAAACCATCTGAAATGTTTACTGGCAAAGCTTGAATACGTATTTCACTTGTCACTGTAAACATTTGCCGAAGTAGTCTTATGAAACTACAACTGTGGCTTTTAAATTATGTCCCTTGAGGTTTGACATTCACATACAAACACACACATACTGCAGCTCTCTATTTCCCATACACCCACTTAGAGACACTGCAGCCCTATCATACAGTGAACGTAATGGGTGACTGAGCTAATTGCTGAGGCGCTCCGAAGCAACAAGAACAGGGCGGCTTCACAACCACATGAAATCATCTTATTCCGCAAGCAGTGTGTACAGAAAAGGAGCATCCATCAAGCTGTCATGCTAACCTCATACTCTTCCAAAGGTAGGAAGTGAAACTCTCTCTAACACACTGTGAGCAGTATGACTTCATCCCACAACGCACCATCCATTACAGGCCACATATCAAGATTGACACAAATATATCAAATCATTTCATTTGTTTTAATCTGGTCAGTTTCTTTTAGCATAACTTGAATTGTTCCTCATACACGGGAGATTGCAGTGATTGGAAGTTCAGACAGGCCATTTTCTTTCTGTTTGCAATTTGGAAATAGT